ACCACAGGCTGGGGCAGAGCAGCAGGCATTTCCTACTCACGGCTGTGGCGCCAGCTGGTCCCGGGTCCGGCGAGGGGCGGCTTCCAGGTCTGCAGAGGGCGAGTTTCCCGAGCGTCCTCCCGGGGCTGGTGGGTGGGAGCAAGGGGGAGGGAGAGGGCCAGATTGCACCCTCCCGTCTCTGTGACAAGGGCACTAACTCCATTATGGGGGCCCCACCCTTGTGACCTTATCACCTTCCAAAGTCCCCACCCCCTGCCACTCTCATATTGGGGGTGGGGTTTCAAAATGTGAAACTTGGGGGACACAACCATTTATTCCAGTGGGACACGTAGCATTCTAGTAAGTGTGGGAAACGGAGGCTGCCTCCGGATGCCAGGCCCCGGGCGGCAGAGCTGACTGGCCGGGTCCTCCCACCCTCATGCCGTTTGGACCTCGATCGATGTTAGGGTGGTAACAGCATCAAGTGGGTCCTTACAACCCCCCACTCTCGGCACCAGGCTTCTGAACCGCCTTAATGTAAATCACTGAATTAGAAGAATATTACACAAGAAAATAAGACTGGAACACAAATTCCCAATAGTCACTAATGAGAGAGAGGAGGCAGGAGGAGAAAGGCTTCGGGGCCTTTACCCGTCTCTCCTGGCAGACACAGCGGGAGGGCGTCCTGCGTCTGCTGTTCCAGCCAGATGTCCAGTGCCTGTTGCCCGGGTCCCGCCACGGACCCAGGGCCACCCCAGGACTCACAGTCACAGACACGGATGTTTCTAGAAAAGTGAACTTGTGTGTGTTAGCATGTAGTAGAGGGTAAGAGGGACCACACTCTATCAAAATCTGGAAGTGGTAAGTCTCCCTTTAAATAAGATCTAAACCAGTTTCCTAAATCCATGTTTATCGCCTCTCGGCCAACATGTCTTCCACGGGCATGAATCTCAAGTTCTGCGGTGAAAATATCAATTACAAGTAACTCCTGGTTCACGGAGGAAACCGTCCCACCTTCTGCTTTTTAGACAATTTAACAAAAAAGGTTGAGTCAGGTCAGTGGCTAATGTGACGATAACTGCTAAAGGTGCGAGGAGAGCTGCCTCCCCTGGTGCAGCCCAGCCTAGAGCCTGGAGCCTGGAGCCTGGAGCCTGGAGCCTGGAGCCTGGCCTCCTGACTGCCTGGCCTCCTGGCCTCCTGGCCTCCTGGCCTCCTGGCCGCCTGGCCTCCTGGCCTCCTGGCCGCCTGGCTTCCTGGCCGCCTGGTTCCGGGCATTGGCAGGAGCCCGGGCTCTGCTCCCCCGCAGGCTCAGTCTCCTGGTCCACGGCTCTTCCCGGGCCCTTTCCCTTCCTCCTGCCTCTGGTTACTAGCCCCCTGGGTCACGTCTCAGGGAGGAATGGGTGCACCTCGGAGCATAAAGAGATCCTGAGGACACAAACCTGGCTGTCCATCTGTCCTGCTCTCTGACCGAGCGGAGGGTCGGAGTCGGCCGGGATGCCCCTGATGGTCTGAGTGACGTGTTTCCCTGGTGTCTGTGCGAGCGGGAGGTGCGCCTGGCGATAAGGCCCAGTGCCTTTCTTGGTCGCTGGCTGCGCTTAGTTACAAGCCCAGCCAGGGGTCCTGCAGGGCCGCCATGCTCACCGGCCTGCATTCCCTGGTCTGAGGGCTTCAGGCCCCAGGAAACACCCCCAGCTCTTCAGCAACAAGGACTTCGCGGGCGAGGGGTGTGCATTCCTCCCTAACCTCCCTTCTCCGAGGCTGGGGCTCAGGTAGGTGACCGGGCAGGTCTCTGGCCGCGTCCCTTCTCAGTGAGGACACTCCTGGGGGGGGGGGCAGCGTGCAGCCCGGCACCCCGTATCCTGCTGTATTTTCAGGGTGGGATTGGATCTTCGCTCTCCCATTTTGTTCCAAGGCTGTACCATGTATTCAGTGACCAGTGACTCTGGGTGTCATGTGACTGAAAGGTGACGAGGCTCTGCACCTGCTGTCCGGAGACCACGAGGCAGGGTCCTAAGGGTCCCCCTCTGCCTGACTCCCCCAGCTCCGACCGGGCTGAGCAGGTGTTCGAGGGACTCAGATGGCCGGGACCCTCAGAGCAGGGGAAGACCACTGGGCATGCATTTTGGATTTAATGATGATGGGGTCTCTTCTGCAAATTCTGTATTCGGGGCATTGTGTCTATTATAGAGTATTTCTGCAACTTTATTTTTATTCTTTATTTTTAATTTTTTAAAATGTATCTTTATTGACTTCAGAGAGGAAGGGAGAGAGAGAGGGAGAGAAACATCAATGATGAGTCATTGATCGGCTGCCTCCTGCACGCCCCCGACTGGGGATCGAGCCCCAACCCTGCAGGTACCCTGACCGGGAATCGAACCATGACCTCCTGGGTCCTAGGTCAATGCTCAACCACGGCGCCATGCTGGCTGGGCTATTTCTGCAATTTTTAAAGGGTGACTTTTACTAACATAAGTGATAGAAAGTCGGGAGTCGTCATTAAGTCCTACTTGAGGGGTGATTTAAACTTCAGGGGTGGTCCTCGCTGGTGAAGCACCCAGGGGACCAGTCACAGTGTCCCTGAAGGAGATGCTGAGGACAGGGCCTCAGCCTCGAAGCCGAGCCATTGGGAGGCGGCAGAGACGAGCCAGCTCGGGGACGTCGGGCCCGTCACAAACGTCTGCTCAGGAGAAGGCAGGCCGGGAGCTGCTGGGAAGCTGGAGGGACGTGCGGTGACGAAGACCGGCAGAGTGAGCCTCGCACCGCCAGGCGAGGGGAGCTCTGCACGGGACGGGCTGGTCCACCTGGAACTCCTGGGCTGGGGGCAAGTTGAACAGTGTCAGCGTCGTGCCCGTGACGAGTGCAGGGTGTTGAGCAGTGTCCCTGACCCGGGAGACCTCATGCAGACAGCCAGGGCCAGCGAGGCCGCTGAGCGGAGCGCCAACCCCCACGTTACGCCCGGGGACCCCTGGGGCCCAGACGCCCCGCGGCCGCGAGAGAAGACGCACACCCTGGTCGGAGATCATCGTGCTACAAATGTGGCAACACTTTTTATTCGGAGTAAAGATGTGTTAACATCCAGCATGACAAAATTTGTACAAAGTCCACAATTTAAAAATGAATATCACTGCAACTTGTGATTCCACACATTTATAGCAAAATTAAAGTGTCGACAAACCCATGCCGTGTAGTACAAAAATAAACCAAACTTCAGTCCACAGAGCACAATAAATATTATACAAAATTCTGTCTTCGTAAATGATCACTTAAATTAACTCAGAAGTGAACATGAACCATAAGTTATAATAAATAAGCTCTGATGAGTCACAATAATTCCCTATGAAGGTCGGCATTCTAATGACACGCTGTGACCCATGTGACAGTCACGGTACTGATGGGATAGCATTACCCACGTGGGATGAGCAGCAGACTTGTGCTTGGAACCCCTTTCATTGTACATAGGCGATAACGAGAACCCAAACCGAGACTACCTATTACTCTACAGAAGCATCACGACAGGCAGAGGAGCTGCACACACGACGCGGGGGTGCTACGGGCGGCAGGCTGGCGGCCGGCCCGGGGGGGCGGCAGGTGCCCGAGCACCTGGCGTCAGCTCTCGGAGGCGATTCTGAGCATGGCAGCTACGACTACTCGCTAACAGAAAGCGGGCGTCTCTGGAGCCCCAAGTAATGACGTCACCCTCTCCCGGCTCGTCACTGGAGTCCTTGTGGAAAACGGAGCGTCTGTACAGAGAGCATATAAAGTGCCGCTGGGATGTGGCTGACACACGTGCGCAGAGGCTGAGCACTGTGCTGGGGACCCTCAGTGCCTCGTTGGGTCAGCCGCGGGCGCAGACCGCACAGCCCCGCACGGACACGCAGGACAAGGCGAGTGCAAACAGTCGACTGGCACGTTGTGGGGACAATGACCCTGTAAGTCCTGTTCTGCTAAAAATATTTTTATTTTATTTTTACAAAACCCATCTTTTTTTCATAACAAAATTTTAAAGTACTCTTGTACTTCCTGCATAACATCCAGACATGGAAGGAAGCGATGCTCTGACGTCAGCCAGCACCGAGAACAGACACGTCCAGGCCCGCTCAGGGGGCAGCGTGGTCAGCGTGGGCTCTGCTGTGCATACACCTAGTGCGGCCGTCGGGGACACGAGCTGGGGACACGAGCCGGGCTCCAGGGCTCAGACGCGTCGGGGTGACCCGTGTATGGAGAAAGTGCTGAAGTACATCCATGACTCCTATCTGATTGCCTTCGTCCGCAGGACAGCTCAGGACACCTCAGACAACAGGCCACGCAAACGCTCTGTGGCCAGCTGCTCTCCCACGACAGGTAGGGCACGAGGTCATCGCAAGAGAGCTCTGAAGACGACAAAATGTCACCCAAAGCCTAAGTTGGGGCGGGGTGGGGCGGGGTGGGGAGACACTGTACTGAGCAGCTGTGCCACTGAATCCAGCAGAAAATTCAGTCCAGAGACTCGAGACTCACAGATCGTTTCTCTTTACGCCCCAGATGTAAATGACGACGGTGACAAGAGTTTTAAAGTGGGAGGGGAATAAATACTCGTAAGCGACCTTGGAGCTCAAATGAAAGCACACGGTTCCGCTGGACGAGCCTCACTGCAGTAGGGACAGTTCAGAGGCCGGAGGCCCGGGCGGCGGGAAGGCTGCTCCGGAGCGTATCGGGGATGGAAGAGGGAATCTTCGCGGCACCGCCTCTACCGGCCCGTCTGCGCTGCAGTCCCACGGCCTCACCATGCAACGCCCAGGAGCTAATTAAAAAGTGCTGTTTAAGCTGCTTTGAGTCTTCTGCCAAGTTTCCATGGCTTGATGTTGTCTTACAATAAATTACTTATCTCATTTCTTACAGTTAGTCCATATGCCATTTCCTTGGAATGAATGCAAAAAACCTCACTTATTGCCCCCACCATACACCATCCTCCTAAAACAAACAAACAAAAAAATCACATAATATTTCCAAGCATTGTTCAAAAATAAAGCATTTTTTGCAAACAATTCTTGCTATGAAACAATATGCACACAAAATGTATTTCTTAATTCCATAAAATCCTCCCGCACGGGGCCGGTGATCACGTGGCCGCGGCCGCCTCGTGGTCATTCAAAGCTGTTTTGATTTTTGTCCATTTCAGTTCAGAATACTAAAACATTTAATCACTAAAGCATTAAAAAGGATTTGCACTCTACTTGGATCAGCTTACCTCCTCAGAAACACATCTCCCCCCAAGTGTGCATACATCAGCAGCTACAGACATTACACGGAGAATCACACTATGCCAGCTGATATGAAAACGTACAAAATGTGAATGTATCCAAAGCTATCTGCAGGTGCTATCGTTAAAGCAAGACGTGAGATCGGTGAGTCTCGTGAGCATGGCATGTCTCAGACAGAGGAGCATGGGCTCGCTCGGGCAGGGGCAGCAGGAGACAGGCGTCCTTTCTAGCAATTCCGCCACTACAGCCACTGCAGCAGCTGGTCAGACCTGAATTCCTCTCACAGCCTGCTTTATATTTTCCAGGAGGGCTTTATTTTCTGGGCTCTGATAACGATCTTGATTTGTATACATGTCCGTCAAAGTAGTCACGTATGCATCAAAATTTTGTTCATTGATTGGGTCCTACGAGATATTAAATAGTAGTTCATACACAACCTTTACTTCTTAATAGGATATTCACATCAGCATAAAACAGCACCACCGCCTAGGGCCACTGTCTGCATCACACTTAAAGGCCTCCTCAGGGCAATCTGAGTCTACAGGGTGCCCTGACCAGCCCCACCAGTGCCCGAGCAGGTAACGCCATGGCGGGAGGTCACCGCGAGCAGTCACAGAAACAATCTCCTTCACGGTGCACTGAGCAGGCCACCAACACCGGCCTCGCACTCCCAGTCACTCACCACGTGCAGCAGCTGGACGTTGGCCAGGCTGTGGATCTGGGACTGGCTCAGGTGGGCCATGGAGCAGAGACTCACTCACTCAGTCACTCACCACGTGCAGCAGCTGGATGTTGGCCAGGCTGTGGATCAGGGACTGGCTCAGGTGGGCCATGGAGCAGGGACTCCCTCACTCGCTCACTCACTCACCATGTGCAGCAGCTGGATGTTGGCCAGGCTGTGGATCAGGGACTGGCTCAGGTGGGCCATGGAGCAGGGACTCACTCGCTCACTCACTCACCATGTGCAGCAGCTGGATGTTGGCCAGGCTGTGGATCCGGGACTGGCTCAGGTGGGCTATGGAGCAGAGACTCACTCACTCACCATGTGCAGCAGCTGGATGTTGGCCAGGCTGTGGATCCGGGACTGGCTCAGGTGGGCCATGGAGCAGGGACTCACTCGCTCACTCACTCACCATGTGCAGCAGCTGGATGTTGGCCAGGCTGTGGATCCGGGACTGGCTCAGGTGGGCCATGGAGCAGGGACTCACTCGCTCACTCACTCACCATGTGCAGCAGCTGGATGTTGGCCAGGCTGTGGATCCGGGACTGGCTCAGGTGGGCCATGGAGCAGGGACTCACTCGCTCACTCACTCACCATGTGCAGCAGCTGGATGTTGGCCAGGCTGTGGATCCGGGACTGGCTCAGGTGGGCCATGGAGCAGGGACTCACTCGCTCACTCACTCACCATGTGCAGCAGCTGGATGTTGGCCAGGCTGTGGATCCGGGACTGGCTCAGGTGGGCCATGGAGCAGGGACTCACTCGCTCACTCACTCACCATGTGCAGCAGCTGGATGTTGGCCAGGCTGTGGATCCGGGACTGGCTCAGGTGGGCCATGGAGCAGGGACTCACTCGCTCACTCACTCACCATGTGCAGCAGCTGGATGTTGGCCAGGCTGTGGATCCGGGACTGGCTCAGGTGGGCCATGGAGCAGGGACTCACTCGCTCACTCACTCACCATGTGCAGCAGCTGGATGTTGGCCAGGCTGTGGATCCGGGACTGGCTCAGGTGGGCCATGGAGCAGGGACTCACTCGCTCACTCACTCACCATGTGCAGCAGCTGGATGTTGGCCAGGCTGTGGATCCGGGACTGGCTCAGGTGGGCCATGGAGCAGGGACTCACTCGCTCACTCACTCACCATGTGCAGCAGCTGGATGTTGGCCAGGCTGTGGATCCGGGACTGGCTCAGGTGGGCCATGGAGCAGGGACTCACTCGCTCACTCACTCACCATGTGCAGCAGCTGGATGTTGGCCAGGCTGTGGATCCGGGACTGGCTCAGGTGGGCCATGGAGCAGGGACTCACTCGCTCACTCACTCACCATGTGCAGCAGCTGGATGTTGGCCAGGCTGTGGATCCGGGACTGGCTCAGGTGGGCCATGGAGCAGGGACTCACTCGCTCACTCACTCACCATGTGCAGCAGCTGGATGTTGGCCAGGCTGTGGATCCGGGACTGGCTCAGGTGGGCCATGGAGCAGGGACTCACTCGCTCACTCACTCACCATGTGCAGCAGCTGGATGTTGGCCAGGCTGTGGATCCGGGACTGGCTCAGGTGGGCCATGGAGCAGGGACTCACTCGCTCACTCACTCACCATGTGCAGCAGCTGGATGTTGGCCAGGCTGTGGATCCGGGACTGGCTCAGGTGGGCCATGGAGCAGGGACTCACTCGCTCACTCACTCACCATGTGCAGCAGCTGGATGTTGGCCAGGCTGTGGATCCGGGACTGGCTCAGGTGGGCCATGGAGCAGGGACTCACTCGCTCACTCACTCACCATGTGCGGCAGCTGGATGTTGGCCAGGCTGTGGATCAGGGACTGGCTCAGGTTGGCCAGCTCGTGGAGCAGGGACTCGTTCTGCTGCTCTATCACTTTGTTTTCCTCCTCGATGGTCTTCAGGCTGCTCTCCATGGTTGTGATCTGAAAGGCACAGGCGTGTGGACCTGTGACACAAGGCGAGTGCGTCGTTCCCACAGGGAGGGATAAGCCTACCAATGCAAGGAAAGGACCTCTCTGCTTAATAAAAAGGCTTCAAAGTTAAGGATTTGTCATTCTAAGGGTGTGGCCTTCCTACTTTTGACTTGTGACAAGTGCAAAGGTGGTGACTGGACTGGGGCGGCTCGTCTCTCTGAGGAGGGATCTTGGACTAAGGCGGAGAGGGGTGGCTCTTGGGCCATGTGGACTAGGGCTCAGATCCACAGGCCTCGCTGTCCTCGTGCCCGGTCACCACCTGGCAGCTGCTTCCTCCTGGCCCTGCTCTCTCTGCGCTTTGATGGACGGCATTACTATTCGGGGCAGTGTTTATGACTTCCTGCCAATACTTCTTTTTCAGCCTGAATCTAATCCTGCCAGAGAAGTCCTCCCATGTTAATGTGTTTGAGGCCTGTCACTGTCACCTCCCTCAGTAGCAGTGACACTCCTGACCAGGTCAAGGCCACTGCGTTCCCGGCCTGCTCTGCCCTCTGATGGCCCAGAGAGAACATGTGGTCAGGGCTGTGGTGTGGTGCCTGTGGCCTCCGCCTGCAGCAGCCGGCCCCTGCTCCCAGGGCCCACTGCACAGATGGGGCGGGAGCTGCCCACCCATGCAGCTCAGGTGAACTGGGTCCCAGCACTGCTCGCAGAGGCCTGTGCTCACGACCCCGCGGGCCAGCCACCCGCCCTGCCTCAAACAAGCCTGTGTTTGCTATGCTGTTTCCTGCGGCTGGGAACCCCTGGGAGAGCTGTCTTCACCCCAGTCAGACTGGACAAACAGGGTGGTGTGTCCCTCCCCTCACAGTGTTGCTGAAGGCGGGTGGGGGGAGGGTGGGGGCAGGACCACCAGCTTCCAGCATTTTCCAGAAGCAGGGAGGGGACTGTGACATTATCTCTGAATTAGGAGGCAAAGGTGCCCAGGGGGCTCTGGGCCTTGAGGGCTAGACTGCAGCCCCAGGACCTCAGACAGTGACAGGCAGTGGAGAGGTGAGGACCTCGTCCAGGTTCCGCACAGCTGTTTCTGTGAGCTCTGCAGGAGTGCCCATCTGCTCTGGAGGACTGGGCTGCGGCAGCCTGACCGGCCCCAGGCCTGGACTTCACCTGACCTGCAGCTCCCCATCTGGCCCTAAAATGCAGAGCACAGGCATTGGCACAGCATGTTCCCTCTACCTCAGGACGGTGGGCTTATCTCTGGGAGCAGAGGTGCCACCCACAGCTCACCTGGCGTCACCTCTCACCAGACACACGTGAATCCTTAACGCTCCTTTTTGATCCTGGATATAAACAGATGCCGCCAGGAGCAAATACTCACAGGAGACATCAGAAAGCCCCAGGTGGGCAGTGATGGCCACACAGCAACGACAACAGCTGGGCGGACGCAAGCTCGCACAAGGAGCTCGCAGGGACTGCTCTGCGCGTCTCAAGTCCCTGGGAGGCCACATCAAGGGGGCACAGCATCACCCCTTGTCCCTGGGCCGGGCTCTGTGTCCAGGCCTTATTGGCAGCAGGGCAAGCTCATGGGGGCCGGAGGGGAGCAGCTCCATTTCAATGACCGACACACAGGGAGCCATCCTGGACAGGGATGGTAAGCCTGGCGGGCAGTGTGCTTAAGCCCCCTGGACATACGGGACTCTGCCTCCTCAGGGTGGTGAGAAAGGTACTGTTGGAGGGACTAACTAGGACCCTCACCGCACGAGCACCGTAGGACAGGAGGGCGTATTCCTATCTGACCCAAATGAATCTCGGCTGATTTGGTCGTCTCACATTCCTGCCAGAAAAGGGGGCTCGTAAGCCGAGTGGGACCACCTGAGCCAAGCCCTGCCACCAGGCATCTCGTAGGTGCTCAGTGAGGCCCTGCAGCCCTCCCCGTAGGCTTCCGGGTGCCTGTGCAGGCCTTGTCTGGGGCCTGGAACCTCGGACACAGGGACACGGGGACATGGGGACATGGGGACACAGCCTCCCTGCCCTGAGGAGCGGGCATCCCGTCTAAAGCTCTGGGAGCAGGAGTAGCGAGAGTGAGCCCCACGTGGCCTCCAGGAAAGGACGCGGCTGCATCACTGAAGAAGCAGGTGACCCTGGGAATGGCCACTCATCCAACACAAACCCAACAACCAGGCGGCTGACGGCCCCTGGCTCCAGCAACGCTGCCACTAAACCGCAGCAGCCGACCAGACGTGGGGAAGATACAGGAGGAAGGAGCGGAGCAGGAGGGCGTCCGCCTCCCGGCGCTGGCCCTCCGCCCGGTCCTGGCGCCCAGCACAGGCGACGGTGCGGCTCAGGCTGACCTGGGTCCGGAGCTTGATCATGTCGGCCTCCATCTGCGAGTTGGACTCGCTCAGCTCCTTGATCTCTTCGTCCAGCTGCTTGATTTCTTCGTCGTTCTCGATCCCTGTCGCGGCAAAAGGAGAGAGCGGGTTAGAGCTGCGCCTGGGAAAACACCGCGGGAATTCCTAGTTCTCTTATTTAGAAAAACGGTCACGTTTGAGTGTCCTTCTGTCCCTGACCACTGCCCTCCTTACAATCAAGGCGCCTAAAACCAGACAGAATCAGCCGGGCATGCAGACCCCAGTTCCGAGTGGTTACCCCCCCAAGGGTGACCCTCCGTGGGCTGGGAACGTGCCTCCGGGGAGACGCAAGCTCGCCTGGGCTCTGCGTTTGTGAGTGGCCGTGAGCAGCCTGGAGTACTGACTTGGGGTTTACAAACCACTTCTAGCAGTGGGCGAGTTCAGAGAGGGAATCGCAGTGTCCTGGAGGCCAGCACGTCCCCCCCACTCCATCGGGGGGCAGCCCTGGGATCAGTATCACCGGCCTGGGAGCTCAGACTGAGGGCAGAGTGGAGAGGCCCGGGCTCTGCTCCCCTGAGGACAGATGGGGGCAGAGGCACAAAGGGGGTTCTGGGGAAAACGCTAGAACCCCTGGTGTGGGGCCTCTGTGACTTTGGCTGCGACCCTGGTGAGAGGTGAAGGGGTGCTCTGGGGAGGATTGCTCTCCAGGTTCATGGACTTTATTGAAAGGGACAGAACTTGTCCCACTTTGTCTCAAAGAAACACGGGTCTCAGCTGTGCTCAGCTATGGTGAAGCCAGAGGACCGAGCGCCGGGCTGTGGCTGTGGCCTGTCCCGAGTGTGGTGTGGGTGTGGGTGTGTGGGTGTGGGGGGGTGTTGGT